TCGCACAGGACCTGATTATAGCACGAAACGCAACCAAAATTTCGCAAATCTGCGTTACCCACTTAGCAAAATGTGCAAATTGGCTACGTAGTTCAATGTCCACGTTTTCAATGTCCACAGAGGGCGTATCGCATTCGCGTATCACGAAAAACGGGGCCGTGACATCTCTCAGGCTTCTCTCTGTCATAGAGCGGAACGGTGTACGCAGAAAATCGCGGAACGACAGTTTCGACCAATCACGAAAATATTGGAATACTCGTGATTGGTCAAGGCTTCCGTTTCGCGATTCTCTGCGTACACCGTTCCGCTCTATGAGTTTGCACCCTGAGGGCGACGTCCCATGGAGCGAAATACGCAGAAGCGGAATCAGCGGATCGCCAATCACAAGACCGTTTCGACGGAATTTTTGAAAGGGCTCTATCAGAATAATCTTGCGATTGGCGATCCGCTGATTCCGTTTCCGCGTATTCCGCTCCATGGGACGCCACCCTGACAGTTCTGGCGGGATTTGGGATAGCAGGAAGGTTAAGTGCCCAGACAGCACATGATATTATACGAATATTTTGTACTCATACTATTAATGTACGTACTGTACATAATATACTGAGAATATATCTATAATATCTTCTGTAGCATATCAGTTTCCGTATATTTTTAGGATGTTTTCAGAACATCTTTTACAGTATATATATTATTTCTTGTATATATATCGCGTATTATCAGAATATATTGTTACATATATTCGAAAACTATACTGTAAATTGTAAAACGTACTGTATTTAACATACTGAGATCATCCCTATAACATTTTTAGTAGTATATTATTTGTCACATATTCTCGTATATTTTCAGAACCTGTAGTTACTAGTAACCACTTACTGCCGCGACGTGGCGACCGCGCGTTAGCCTTTCTCGTAAGTAAAAATCATTCTGTATTAGTATAAGAGGCGAGCCGATATGATATAACAGTTGGTTTTCTGTATCATGGATAAACTTCAATGATCTGAATATACTTTTGATGATTACATAATTTAACACACTTTAAAAATTAGGTTAAAAAAGTAAATATTTTTAATAGGAAGCCTACTGATGCCCTACTACCCTCAATTAGAAATTATATAGCGTAACAAGGGGCAAGTCATGAGGTCTTGATAAGGAAAACCTGACCAGGCAATTAATTATGTGATCAAAATATTTTATTAATATACTTATGATATACCAAAAAATATTCTCCGTATATGTATACTTAATAGACTTCTAGGGCAGACATAGAAACATCCTCCGTACATTCTTAAAATATCGTGGTACGTATTTCGAAAATTAATGGGATATACACAATCTACGTTTGCAATATACTGCGTATATACTCAGAATCTACTGTGCTGTATGGGTAATATGAGTGCTTTGATGGATCCCCTTTGATTTTTATAAATTCATATAACTTTTTTCATAAAAAAATATCACTTGATGCGTTATTGATCCAATGCATTGATATGCTACGTTGTATATGCAAATGTAAAAACATATTTTAAAATTTGTGATGTTGTCAAGTCTCAAAGAGATGCCAAATTTCCTCAAAACATTGTATCTTCCGATTTTACTAATAGGTAAATTCTTGCAGAGGTTGGTGACCTCATATACTTAATAGCACATTTAAATCCTTGTGTCATTTATTACGTTTATCTCGGTTTTGTTAAGATCTACTTTTTCTATAAAATACTATAATATTAACCCTCAAAATGCTTCTGTCAGCGATATGCCCATAACTTCCTTCCCAATGAACACCAAGTAACATAGTTACATAATATCAAAATTATTATTTTTTACTTAACAATGGAAATGTAATATAACATAGGTGTTACATTACACTTATCTTGAGTACAAAATTATAATATTAATATTATGTAAATGTTATTTGGTGTTTACAGGAATGTTAAAAAATACAACTTTAGTATTTTTTAAATACTTTTTCTTTATTTTGGTCGGTTTGTGTAGGAGCCACCTTAAATATTATTATCGTTATTTTTTAAACGTTTTTTAGTAATTCAATTGATTTCTGTAATTGAGTTGAATTTAAATGTATTAAGTGACTTGTAGGTTCTGGCCCGATATTCATGATTATTCCTCTTTTGCTTTTTGTTAAATAAAAAATTAATCACGTTATTTGTTATCAGTATCGACGATTATTTACAGTAAAATATATTACTTTATTTAGAATTAAATAATTTTTGGTTTATTAATCTAAAATATGGAACAAATCTGGCTGACCTGAAACTTTTGATCACTACTTATATAAAGGATGTCTTTAAATATTTTAGACCCTTTTTGCGTGTAAATAGAGCGGATTAGACTGACAAGTCGAAAAGTTCTGTACTATTTTGCAATTCTTGAAATAGTTAATGAGTTATTAATTGTTAAAAATCGCTGTCTTAACTCGGCTTACCGCCTAATTCAAGCTCGCTGCGAAATGCGACTGTCGTAAGATCGACGTTCACAGGCACGCGAGAAGTTTGTTTATAATTGCCCGTGCCTAGCGATACCGATCGCGGGACAGCTGTATCTCACCGTGCTTGAATTTGGCGGTAGGCCATGTTAAAACAGCGATTTCTAATGATTAATAACTCCTTAACTATTGCGAGAATTGCAAAATGGTAGAGAACTGTTCTATTCAGTCTAGTCCGCTCTAGCTGCGCACAAAGAGTCCCAAATGTTTAAAGACACCTTGTATATGAAAAAATGTTTAACCAATCATATTGTTATTATCACATTTTATTAATATATTTCATATAGATCTTGCGTTAATATTTCATTTTACATTAACTTAAACCATAAACATTCAACAAATTAAAATAAAAATATTACTTGTAAATAGTCTTTTAGGTGATAAACCAACTTGCGTCAGAACTGATAAGTATCGTATATTTACATAAACACAATCTAGTTTCTCTTAAAAACAGAAATTGTTTCATAGTATTGCAGTAAAAAACAATTTTATACTTAAACTGTGCTCATAAAACTTCGGTATTAGCGATCATAAACATGCAATTTTTTTTATGGTTTTACTATAATATGACACTGTCATCGACATTCATATCTGTACTAATATTTTTAATAAATACCAATCTTCAGATTTGCAAAGGTAACTATGTACTTAAGTTTTAAGCTTTTAAATTGGCTTTACATCATTTCTGTTTGTAAATAAAAACTTCCATTTATTAAAAAGTACTTATAATTATGAAATTGTACAATTGGTATAATATTGCATACATTAATGTTCGAAATTTATAAAATATACAGGGTGTCCCATCTTAACTTGGACAATAAAATATCTCAAAAACTAAGCCCAGCAAACAAAACTGTTTCAGACAAAAGTTGTATGTTTCGAGGGGGTCATTAATTTGGCCTTGAATAGTTGCTTGACGGTCACGTGAAGGTCACCTTCAATTTTTCCAAAGGAACCCTCTATTGTTTATTATACTATCTGATTCTACGAATTAATATAAACAACTTGTGTCTGAAACATTTTTTGATTTGCCTAATACTTTTTCAGATACACTGCAGCTCTCCTCACAAAATTTCACAATATCATTAATATATACAGGGTGAGGCATTTAAAACTGTTTTTCAGAATATTTGGAAAAATACAAATTGGATTAAAAAAAAGTTGCAATAAAAGTTGTTCACCTCGAAGAGGGTCATCCATTAACATAAAGCTCGACCCCCTGCACCACCCCCGGGGGCGGGAGGGGGGGTGACTTTGAAATCTTAAATAGAAATCCCTATTTTTTATTGCAGATTTGGATTCTCCGTGAAAAAATATGTAACTTTTGTATGAGACATTTTTTTCGTTTCATGATAGATGGCGCTGTAATCGGCAAAAATGAAAATGAGTTGAAAATTGTTGAAAAATGGTAATATCTCAGAAAAATACACATCAGATTAGGAACATCAAAGTAAAGCGATTTTTGTTGACCGTATCAAGCTATTAAAATTCTTATTGCGAAAAATATTACCCCAGCCAGGATTCGAACCTGGGACCTCCCTTTTTTTTTTTTTTTTGACCCGGTGGAAATCCTCATGGACCGTCCCCCCGCCCTGCTGGGACAGGGACGGGGGGGTGTGTGGGACTCGTCTCCCTGGTCCCTGGGCAGTTGACACCCATGGGACCAGTAGTGCAATGGAGACGCCTACCGCACTAAAACCACCGGGGGTGGACTTCTCTGCGCTATTGGGGACTGCCGAGGGAATGCAACAATAGAACTGCTCGACAGCCCCCGCGCCACGCGTAGTTTTCGCGTACCTCTATGCCCTTAATTGGGCATGGCCCTGAAAAGGGCCTTCTCCATAAACGGCCCTGAGAAGGGCCAACTCCTCCAATTTGCGACGGGGGTGCCACCGGGCCTCCCGCCGCGCCCCTCGTTGTTGTGGGGGCGGGTGAGTCACGGGTTCCCAGCCCGTGCCCACCCCTAGGGTCCTGGACCTCGCTCTTCTCTCTCTTCCTCCTCCCCTTTAAGTCGCCTTTTACGACAGGCAGGGGCTACCCCGGGGCTATTCTTAAAGCGGCACCCGTACGCCTAACCTGGGACCTCCCTACAATTCGTGACGGGCGTCTTAGCCAGCTCGACCACCGGAGCTGTGATAATACTATTCGCAATAACGTGTATATAACTTTAAGATGTTGTTTACACGTCTTATTTCGACTTTCCAGAAACTGTGCGTCAATACGGATTGTCGACCGCACAATAACCTGTCGATACGCGATTTTTCAAATTTTCCCTTTTCCCTTCCCTCCCCCTGATCCCATTCCTCCTAACGGAGGAAACCAAGTTTTTGGTCCTTGGTGTAATAATTAATAAATTAATAACATCAGTTGTTGGACACCATTATCTAAGGTCGATGGTGTGTTAAGAAACAAAAGTGGTAATTATATCGCCAGAAATTATAAACCAAAATTTCATAAGTTTTATCGACCTACACTGGCTATAGCGATTTTTGGGCCTGTGTCCGATGGAACCTGTGTCCGATCGGGACTGTGTCCGATAGAATCTGTGTCCGATTGCAACCATATGTGTCCGATGTAAAATGTGTCCGATCGAGCCTGTGTCCGATCGGGACTGTGTCCGATAGAATCTGTGTCCGATTGCAACCATATGTGTCCGATACAAAATGTGTCCGATCGGGAGTGTGTCCGATAGGAACGGTGTCTGATCGAGACTGTGTCCGATTGGGGCTGTGTCCGATCGGGACTGTGTCCGATCGTGAAATATTGCCGTGTCCGATCGGTTATGTGCGCAATCGGGACAATCCCGTTGAATCCGGTACTACACGTAGGGATAGTCCACTTAATTCCTCTCCCTCAAAACTCACTGTTGCATCTATTATGCCATTAACCTCTAACGGACTCTTATTTAAATCGATATATTTACCAACCTCACTACTCACTTGCGTCACTAATTTTGCCGGAATGAAGGATTCTTTTATAAAGCTAATCGGACTACCCGAATCTAACAACGTACGCAAGGTTAAGTCTATCGATAATTCGGCACTCTTAAGCTTATAACGCAAGTCTCTAAAAATCTGTTCTTCGATGACGTTAACTTGCTTCACTTCCGTTTCCGTAAATCCCTTCGTCGTATTCTGCGTCTTTTCCTTGGCACCACTCTTCTTGCTTTTTTGTGGACAGTCCTTGATTCGATGATCCGTTTGGCTACAATGAAAACAGGAACCTTGCTCGCGTCTCGGTTGCTTACAGTCTCGACACAGTATAACCAGTATGCCCAC